AGAATGTGGAAGCAAGCCATTCACCCCATCCAGTCCACACCAACCCTCCGAAGAGCATCCCACCGAGACCCACCCACCTACCCTATCCCTGTCACCCTGCATTTACCATGGCTAATCCACCAAGCTTGTACTTCCCTGGACGCTATGGGCAGTTTAGCATGGCTAATGAATCCACCTAACTTGCACATCTTTGGACTGTGGGAAGAAACCTGAGCATCCGGAGGAAACCCATGTGGACATGGGGAGAACATGTAAACTCCTCACAGACAGTTGCCTGAGGATGGAATCGAGCCCGGGTCCCTGGTGCTGTGAGGCAGCAGTGCTAACCAGTGAGCCACTGTGGAATCCTGCCACAGCAGATGGCGAAATTTAAATTCAATAAGAACAACTGGAATTAGGAATCTACTGATGACCAAACCATTGTCAAATGCTGGAAAAACCCATCTGGCTCACTAATGTACTTCTGGGAAGGAAATCTTCCATTTTCACCTGGTCTGGTCTACATATGACTCCAGAAGACTCTCAACTGCCCTCTGAAGTGGACTAGCAAGTCACTCAGCTGTATTAATCATTATGAAGTCTCAACAAAGAAATGAAACTGGACAGACCACCTGGCATCACCTTAGGCACTGGCAAATACATTGCAGAAACAGCACTGTTGACCCCGCAAAGTCTTCCTTAATAACATGAGGGCTAGTGCCAAATTGGGAAAGCTGTCTCACAGGCTAGTCAAGCAACAGCCTGATATTGTCTGTGAGGGATGATTCCTTGAGCATGACAATATCCCAGACACCACCATCACCATCCCTGGATATGTCCTATGCCCCCAGCAAAGGTATACAGTCAGGAGGGAGCTGACATGGGAGTCCTCAACATTCATTTGGGGCCCCATGAAATCTCATGGATTCAGCTTGAACACCAGCAAGAAAACCTCCTGCTGATTACTGTGTACCGTCCTCCCTCTGCTGATGAATCAGTATTCCTTCATGTTGAACAACACGTGGAGGAGGCACTGAGGATGGCAAGGGAGAAAAATGTACTCGGGTTGGGGGATTTAAGTGTCCATCACCAATAGTGGCTCGGCAACAGCACTACTGATTGAGCTGATCAACTCTCAAACTACATAGTTGCTAGACTGGGTTTACTGCAGTTAGAGAAGGAACCAACAAGAGGGAAAAACATATCTGACCTCATCCTTACCAATCTGCCTGCTGCAGAGTCATCTGTTTATGACAATATTGATAAGAGTGATCACTGTACAGTCCTTGAGGGGGTGAAGTCCCGTCTTCACATTGAGAATGCCTTCCATTGTGTTGTGTGGCATTATCACTGATTCAAACAGATCTAACAACTCAAGACTGTGCATTCATGAGGTGCTGTGAACCATCAACAGCAGCAGAATTGTACTCCAGCACAATCTGTAACCTCATGGCCTGGCATATCCCCCACTCAACCATTACCATTTCACAGCAATCTATGTCTATGGTATGATCCATCTCGGCCTCCTCCGGTGGTCCCCAGCATTACAGATACCAGTCTACAGCCAATTCAATTCACTCCACATGATATCAAGAAATGGTTGGAGGCACTGGATACTGCAAATGTGATGGGTCCTGACAATATTCTGGCAATAGAACTGAAGACTTGTGCTTCATAACTTGCCATGCTCCTAGCTAAGCTCTTCCAGTACAGTTAGAAAACTGGCATCTCCCTGACAATGTGGAAAATTGCCATCTAAGCAAAAAACAGGCCATTCCAATTACCACCCCATCAGTTTCCTCTTGATCATCAGTAAAGTGATGGAAAGTGTCATCAACAGTGTTATCAAGTAGCACCTGCTCAACAATAACCTGCTCAGTGATGCCCAGTTTGGGTTCTGCCAGGGCCATTCGGCTCCTGATGTCATTACAGCTTTGGTTCAAACATGGACAAAAGAGCTGAATTCCAGAGGTGAGGGGAGAGTTTTAGTCTTTGACATCAAGGCTGCATTTCATCAAGTGTGGCATCAAGGACCCTTAGCAAAACTGGGTACCGGGGCAAGCTCTCCACTGGCTGCATTCATACCTGTCACATCAGAAGATGGTTGTTGTTGTTGGACGTCTAGGACATCTCTTCAGGAGCTCTTCAAGGTAGTGTCCTAGGCCTTTCATCTTCAGCTGCTTCATCAATGAATTTCCCGCCATCATAAGGTCTAAGTGGGGATGTTTGCCAATAATTTCACAGTGGTCAACACTACTCGCGTCTCCTCAGACACTGATTAGGTCCATGTTCGAATGTGCCAAGATTTGCACAATATCCAGGCTTGGGCTGACAAGCGGTAAGTAACATTCATACCACAAAATGCCAGGAAATAACCATTTCCAATAAGAGACAATCTAACCACTTTCCACTGACATTCAATGGTGTTACCACCACTGAATCCCCCACTACCAGCATCCTGGGGGTTACCAAAGACCAGAAACTCAACTGGACTCACTACATAAATACAGTGGCTACAAGAGCAGTTCAGAGGCTAGGAATACAGTGGCAAGTAACTCATCTCCTGACTCCCCAAAGCCTGTCCACCATCTACAAGGCACAAGTCAGAAGATGGAATACTCCCCTATGGCTTGGATGGATACAGCTCCAACAACAGTTTAAAAACCATCCAGGACAAAGCAGCCTGCTTGATTGACACCACATCCACAAACATCCACTCCGTCCACCACTGATGTTCAGTAACAGCAATGAGCACTGCAGAAATTCACCAAAGATCCTTAGACAGCAATTTCCAAACCCATGACCACTTCCATCTAGAAAGACAAGAGCAGCAGATACATGGGAATACCATCACCTACAAGTTTCCCTCCAAGTCACTCACCAATTTGACTTGGAAATATATTGCCGTTCCTTCACTGTCGCTGGATCAAAATCCTGGAAATCCCTCCCTATGGGATTGTGGGTCAACCTACAGCATGTGGACTGCAGTGGTCGAAAGCAGCTCACCATCACATTCTCAAGGGTAACTAGGGATGGGAAATAAATGCTGGCCAGCCAGTGATGCCCACATCGCACAAGTGAATTTAAAAAGTCAATTAAGGGATTGAGTCCAAGTCATGAGGGTGTTAGTTATGAGCTGAAAAGAACATCTTTTACATTTTCTTAGGAATTACATGCATTGTTCGGAACTTAAGTTTGGTTTTCTGCAGTGATACCAGCAGCCCAAGGTCACTTCTTAAAAATAGATCAAATCAAAACAAAGGAAAATTAAGCAAATTGAACAAAAAAGAGATACGGAAATTACAGTTTCTTGATCAAGTGGATATTGATGGCCTTACAGATGATAATGAGCTGGCCAGTAATCCTCCTTGATTTATGAATTTCAATTATTGTGCTGCCTAACACTATAGAATGGGTTCACACCTTATGCCTTCAACCATCAAAATTCAATATCCAGGATTTGGGAAGTGTTAGAACGAGAGATGCTGTCTGACCCACTGTGATCTCCAGCATTTGTTGTTTTCATACAGATTCCAGCATCTGCAGTGATATGTTTCCACATAATCTAATTAATGTTTATGGTTTAAACCCATTCTTCTTTGATCATATCTTCACTCTCACACAGACAGGTACACAAAGTAATGGAATTTTTTAAAAATTGGAATTATTTCCTAACTCAATTAAACAGTTTCAGATGATGGATGCCAAGTCTTTATGCAATCCTTGGATAACGATTTATTCCCAGGCATATAACTGCATATCTAATTTCAAAGTCACTAGTGAAGGTAAGAGTTCAGTGGACTTCCAGGGTATTTACTTATTTCTGACAGACTGGAATTCTTTTCTCACAATATTAAGCAATTCTTGAACTGGACAGAAAAACTAGAGAGTAAAAACACAGCAGCCAAGTTTCCAAAATCACTCTGCACCTGCCAAAAAAGAGTTGGTTTTCTTTTTTGTTTCATTATCATCTACATTGGACTGGTTAGCATCAATCCTCCCTTGACTGACCAACTTAACATCCAACTAGCTGCCAGCCCTGGGTATGACAATGCATGGCACTGATTGTCCAGTGTTCCTTAGATTAGTATTGTAATTAAATTATATTATATTACGGATGATGATGATCTGGCCGGTAATCCTTCTTGATTTATGAATATCAATTATTGTGCTGCCTAACACTTTAGAATCGGTTATTATCTATATTATCACTAACAGCTACATCTGCATTTATTTTCTTCTCTTTTAAAGCATGCAACTACTTCAAAGTTCAACTAACCATAATCTCAACTTTCAGATAACAAAAAAAAATTAGAAAGATAAAAAGAAAGTAAGAGTCTCTACAGAGGCCACACTATTCCAGCTAAATGTTGTTTAAAGCAACATTTACTTACAATGGTAAAGTTATTAAGGTGCCTTTTAATGTCTTACAGAATCAGAAAAAAATCGTTGTTGATTTGGTAAACTTTATTTCCAACTAGATCTCTTACAATGGCCACCAGACTTTCCAGCTGAGGTAAACGATACTATATGTCATAGAGTCATTGGTTTACAGCACAGAAAAAAGTCTTTTGACCCATCGAACCTGAGCCAGTCAAGAACAACCATTTAACTATTTCTGAAGAAGGGTCCCGACCCGAAACGTCAACTTTCCTGCTCCTCTGATGCTGCCTGGCCCACTGTGCTCCTCCACCTCCACTCTGTGTTATATCTAACTATTCTAATCCTATTTTCCAGCACTTGGTCAATAGTGTTTATGCCTTGGAATCACAAGTGCACATCTAAACAATTTTAAATGTTATGACGCTTCCACATCGGCCACCCTTTACAAACTTTGATTTCCAGATTCCCACCACCCTTTCAGTGAAAATGGTTTTTCCTCACATCTTCTCTAAACCTCATAATCCTTACCTTAAACATATATCTACAGGTACAGGATCCCTCTACCAGATTCCAGAACTGCACACAATATTCTAGCTATGGCAGTATATACAGTTCCAGCATCACCTCCCCACCCTTAAACTCCATGCCTCAGCTAATAAAGGCAAGTATCCTATATGGCTTCTTTATCTACCTCGCCTGATCATTTAAGGGACTGTTGTACATGTACACCAAGGTTTCTACGATCCTCGGTGCATCCCAGGGTCCCACTGCTCATCATGTACTCCTTTGCCTTGGGAATGTCATGATGACTACATTTTCATGAAGATTTTCCACAACTTTTCCAGGCTGCTGAAGATTTATACCAAAAAATTTGATTCACATTTTATGAAGAACTATCTCAGCTTTACAAAAAGTTCCAAAATATTTTTCCAGCCTCAGTAGAAGAGCTTATTTCTTCAGAGATTTCTAAATAGGAGGCACACCAGGGGATGAACCTGAAAGCATATTAATATCAGGCCTAGTTTTGGGTATCCTATGATACCTGACTTTTCAGTCCTTGCAATATATCAAGATCCCTTTCATACTTTTCCAGACCAAAGAGAGCAAACAGATCCAATGGTGATACCAATTTGTGAGAAAAACAGCATTTGTAAAGAAGTTGCAAAGTTCACCAGACTGATCTCTTTTAAGAAATAAATTGATAGATTTGATGCAAAGGTGTCAAAGGGTATGGGGAGAGAGCAGGAGGTTGCTGTTAAGAGAGATGATCGTATTGAATGGATGGTCTGCTCCTGCTTCTAATTTCTATGTTTCTAATCTATGAAGAGATTTTTTCAGTAATGTTCACAGTCATTGCGGTTTTTGAAGTACACTACATTCTTCCTAATGACGTACTTCTCTTTATCCTAAACTTGAGAAAATAGAGGAAGAGCTTAAGATGTCATTATTTGCAACTACACCTGGTAGTACCTCTCAGCTCTCCTTCAATGGTACAGTATCATCCTTCAGCAGTCTTTGTCAGATGATCTTTCAAGCAGAAGATATTGGGAGAGAAGGCTCATCGATGGCAGCATTACCCTCTCAATGAGCACTCTCCTGCCTTTGTAGTGATGTGACAGCCCAAAGGCAGCCAGCCCTTTTAATACCAAAAGATGTCAAATGATGCAACTAATCTTACTCTTTTCATTTCAGCTGTAGACAGCATGGTACAAAATCAGCCTAAGATACTTGTTCTCTCAAAGCATTTTAAATGATCAGATCAGGCAGAATCATGAGACATCTACAGCACTTGAATCTGTGAACAGTCGACAACTACTTTTGGAGTGGTGGTGGTGGTGGTGGTGGTTGGGTGGGGGGGGACCTTGTAAATAGGTTCAGTTAAATTAGAATAAATATAAACATTTCAGTCAGTAACATTAAGAAAATACTTAATGAACCTGGAAAAGTACTTCAGTTGGTGGGGGGTGGTCGGAAGGAGACAGATGTGGGGATAAGATTTCATATGTAGGATGAGCCTATGAGGTACGCTGTGGTGCAACTGTGACCTCAGCAGGCATATAATACGACTCTTCTGGAAGCTTGGAATGAGTACAACTCGGAGGAGGAAGTTATACTGCTTTATATATGGTAAATGAAAATAATTTAAAGAAAGCTAGATGTCTGGCTTCGGCTTGTAGGAAAAACAGAAAAATTGTGTTAAAATGCTGTTAATGGTGGCTTGATGAATTGACGCATTGCACCTCAAACAGTACTCATTCCTGCCATTGCAAGAATGTTATAGATGGTGGGTGCTGTATTGTGTCACAGAGCCCATATATTTTAAGAAACATGTTCATGATATCATCGCTGTATCACAACATGACAACTAGGGATAACAATTGCTTGAGTATGGCAACCTGGATACAAAATCAGCTGACAGACTAGAAATATCATGACGCGAGGAAAACAGTGATAGGCCCCCCAAAGGTCAGCATTAGGAGCACTGCTCTGTGGATTTATACCAGCAATCAGGATTTGAACATACAAGACTCAATTTTAAAGTTTATAAAGATGATTGAAAACTTCAAAATGAAGCAAATAATGAGGAAGTTGGTCACAAATGTCAGGAGGACACTAACTAGTGAAATGAGTAAGACACATGATGGGTGAGAATTAACAAACTATGAAAATAAAATTTTACAGGAACATCATGCTTTAGGAGCCTCAAATGATATAAGGAGTGATTTGTGGAATGCACTGACTGAAAGGGTAGTGGAAGCTTCATTACAGCCCAGAATCTGGATTTAAAAAAAAACCCAAATGAAAACTGATTATGGAAGAAAGGAGGGGAAATGGAACGTTTGGAACTAGCACAGACACAATGGCAGTTGTTGTATCATTCTACAATTCTTTGTGTCATTCGAGGCATGTGTTGGAGCAAATCAACAATGGCAACGGTAAGCAACTGACAATAAGCAGCTTCTCATTCTGATAGGAAATCTAAAGTACGAGAGAGGTAACTTTACAGAGGGCCTTAAGAACGTGAGATATTGCTCAAAGTGGAGATAAAAATCTCTGTGAAGTGAAAACTAGACAAGAAAAGACATAATAATATAGAGGTGCTAGAACAGTCTAGTTCAGGGAGGCCAAGTAATATGTTTGGAATACATTAGATTCTTTGGTACAAAACTGATGGTCGTCCTTCATACAGAAGGACCCAGATTGACGTTCATTCGCCTGTGCAGGGGGTCTCAGGCATAACTGCCATTCCTTATGCAGGAGGACTCAGACTGACAGACATTGCCCCATGCAGGGATGATGAACGATGTTTCATCTTCACTTTTAAACAACAATAAACATTAATGGAGACAAATGACAATTTCAATTGCTCTTTAATGCCAGAGACAGAATCATCTCTCAAGACCCCTCCAAAGACAGTTTATCCCCCTGAGTCCTGAGACCCAACATTGATCCCACCCACACACGGGGGCACTCTTGGAAATGCTGAGCCCGCAGTCTCCACTCTAGAGAGATTCTGACTTCGTTTCTTCTCTATTCCACAGCCTGCATGTGAACAGAGTCTTCACAGTGGTCAATCTTTCTGGTTTCAACTATGGCTGAACCCCTCGGTCTGACAAAACACCGGGGAAAGATGCCAATGTTCCCATTGGAATGTCCTTCCAGCCACTCCTCATTCACTGTAAAAACAAATGGAAAATAATGTGATTGCACAAGGGAGAGACAGGGAGAAGAGAATAATGGGAAAGGTGGGTGGGGGGGGGGGGGGGGGGGGGGGGGAGAGGGGAGGGGGGGGGGGGGGGGAGGGTATGGGGTGAAGAAAGACAGAAAAGGAGAGGAGCAAGGGAGAGACGGGAAGGAGTGAGCAGGCAGGAGGGAGGGAGGAGGAGGGAGAGAGAGTAGGGGAAAGAGACAGAGATGGGAGGATAGAGAGAGAGAGGGAAAGGGGGAGAGATGGGACAGGGGGAGAGAGAGATGGGGGATCAGGGAGTAAGAATGGAGGGGATCAGGGAGTGAGATTTGAGAGGAGCCAGGGGGGGGGGGGGGGGGGGCAGGCAGCAGGAGTGGTCAGGGAGTGAGGGTGCTTCAGGGGGTGAGGGGGGTCAAGGAGTGAGAGGGGATGAGAAGGGGACAGACAGCAAGAGATGGAGGTTCAGGGAGTGAGAGATGGGGGGAGTCAGGCAGCGAGAGATGGGGTTTCAGGGAGCGAGAGATGAGGTAGGTCAAGGAGTGAGAGATGGGGGAGTGGTCAGGGAGTGAGAGGGTTCAGGGAATGTCAGGGAGAGAGGGGGTTCGGGAAGTGACGGGGCAACAGGGCATGAGGGGATGACAGGGAGTGAGAGATGGGGGGGTCATGGAGCGAGATATGGGGGGGTCAAAGTTGCAAAGTATTTATCATATGATTGTGTGTAATTGGAAATTCAAAAAGTTGTTTGAGACAATGGTCTATATGCTATTTACAAAAATAGAGTGATTTTTGAAAAGCAGAGTCCAGCAGATTTGAGAGACATGTGTGGAGTTTTATTGGTTTGATTGCTGAGCAAACAACCCTGGAAAATCCTGAAGGATCTATACTGCTGTTAGGAACAGCCTCTGGACTGAGGTAATAGATTTTTTTTTGGAACAAATCTAGGAGCTTTGAGCATTTGCTAGCAACATTCCTCAATTATCAAGAGTCGCTCAATGGTTAGCACTGCTGCCTGTCAACACCAGGGACCTGGGTTCAATTCCACCCTCCAGTGACTATCTGTGTGGAGTTTGCACTTTCTCCCAGTGTCTGTGTGGGTCCCATCCAGGTGCTCTGCTTTCCTCCCACAGTCCAAAGGTGTGCAGGTTAGGTGGATTGGCTGTGCTAAATTGCCCCATAGTGTCCAGGGATGTGTAGGCTAGGTGGGTTAGCCATGGGAAATGCAGGGTTACAGGGATAGTGTAGGGGGCTTGGTCTAGGTGGGATGCTGTTCAGAGGGTCAGTGTGGACTTGATAGGCCAAATGGCCTGATCCCACACTGTAGGGATTCTATGGACTCTGTGTCATAGCTTGGAACTGAAAGCTGTGCTGTTACATCTCTCTCAGTGAAATAGTATGAACAAGACCTGATAATGTTTCAAGAAGCCATTCTGCTCATTGAGTCTACATATATTCCCTGCAGAATAATCCAGTCTGTCCCACTTCCTGGCTCTATCCTTTTAGCTTTAGTTCCTTCAAGGATCCATCAATTTCTCTTTGAAATGATTGAAGTTTCTGCTACTACCAACCACAGCAAAATTCCTTGCATTCCCCTGTGCATCTTGTCCAAAACATTATGCATGTCTCCTAATCCTTGTGCCATCAGCTAATGGGAACACCTTTTCTTTTTATATCTTATAAAAACCCATCGCAATCTTGTAGACCTTAACCAAATTTCCCCTCAATCTCCTTTGCTCCAAATAAAACAACAGGTTTGAAATATAAAAACAGACTGGAAAGACTGGGACTTTTTTCACTGGAGCATAGGAGGTTTGTAAAATCATGAGGTTCATACACAAGGTGAATGACAAAGGCCCTTTCCCTAGGGTGGGAGGAATTCAAGACTAGGGGTCATAGTTTTAAGGTGAGAGGAGAAGGATTTAAAGAGGACATGAGGGGCAACTTTATTTTTACACAGAGTGGTTCATGTGCGAAATGAACTTCCAGAGAAAGTGATGGATGAAGGTACAATTACAACGTTTAAAAGACATTTGAATAAGTTCATGAATAGGAAAGGTTTGGAGGGATATGGGCCAACGCAGGCAGGTGGGACTAGTTTGATTTGGGAACATGGGTGGCATGGACTGGTTAGACGGAAAGGTCTGTTTCCATGCTGGATGACTCTGACTCCAGCTTCTCCAATTGAACCTATAACTGAAATCCCTGGTCCCTGGAAGAATTCTGGTAAATCTCCTCTGCACACCTTCAAGGATCTTCACATCCTTTCCCATACATGCTGACCATTACTCTTAGCCGTCGCTGACCCACTGCTTTAAAGAGATTCAGCATACCTTCCCTTCTTTTGAACTGAATGCCTCTATTCATGAAGCTCAAGATCCTGTATACTTTGCTAATCTCACTCCCAATATGTCCCACCACAAAATGGAGAGAGTGGCAGAGTCAGAGAGAGGAACAATTTCAGAGAGAGATGGAAAGAGGGAGCACTGCTGAAGCTGGTACTTATAAATGGTACAATAAATGAATCTAATCCAGACAGACTGGAGAAAGATCCTACCCTCAGACAGAACATCGATGATATCGCCCTCATTGAACTCCACATCCTCAGCACCATGTCCGTTATAATCATAGAGGGCCTGTGTTTGGTAGAGAACTTTACGCCCAGACAAAGGGTCTTTGCACTGAAAAAAGGACAGGTTAGAGCAAAAACATCACAGTGAGAACACATGTATGTTGCAATATGCATATGCATATACACTGCAGTATGTGTATATGAACTTCAGAATTTGTGTTGGAGTGTGATCACCCTGTGGCATGAGTGTCTATGCAATGCAACTCGAGCGTGTGTACACTCAAGCTTTAGCCTGAGCCAGGGCATGCTGCAGTTTCTCTTCCAAAGTGTGAATGTGAACACACTGCAATTTAAATGCGTGTATTCTGCAGTGATAATATGGGTACTGTATGAATCCATGTACATACTGCATTGAATCTGTGTACACGGAAATGTATAAGTTTGTACATACTTGCGTGAATATGTGCGTATTGTAATGTTGCATGGTGTATAGGTGGGGTGCTAAACCTAGGTGGGATTTTGTCTGTGCCTGCAAACTTGCACCTGTTTTTGACTGAGCTTCACATTCTTACCTTGCACCACAGAGTGAGGCGTCTGTCAACAATCTGATTCCACACTTTGTTTAAATCTTCATCTCCTCTAATCTCCACCAATTCCTGTTTCTCCTTCTCTTTGTAACTGTGAGAGAATTTAAGGGTTTAGAGACAGATTGACTCAGGAGTTAGGTTTACAGACAGATTAATAAAGGGAGTTGGGGTGGCAACAAAGTAAAGGTTAAAAATAACTCATGGATTAGAGGGCAAGATTAAGAATCATAGAATCCCCACAGTGTGGAAGCAGGCAATTTGGCCCATCGAGTTCACACTGACCCCTCTGAAGAGCATCCCACCCAGACACACACACACACCTTAACCTATCCCTGTAATCCTGCACTTCCCATGGTTAACCCACCTAACCTACACGTCCCTGGACACTACAGGCAATTTAGCTTGGCCTATCCACCTAACCAGCACATCTTTGGACTATGGGAGGAAACAGAAGCACCCAGAGGAAATCCACACAGACACAGGGAGAATGTGCAAACTCCACACAGTCGCCCAAGCTTGGAGGGTTAACTTTGATTGGGGAGAGGTGGGAAGTGTGCTATTGACAGTGAGTAGCAAAAAGGGAATGTATTTATTTTGGTCTTCACTCACTATGCCAGGATTTATTACTCATCTCAAATTATCCCTTCATCCAATTGTAAAATTGTAAAAGTTGATGCCCCAAGGACTGAGCCCTTTGGCATATTATTCATTGCATCTTACCAACCATAAAATGATCCACTTATACCATCATTTTCAGGCAAGTTATCATAAGTCTGTAAGTTTTAAAACAGGCATGGAACCTTATCTTCTAACAGTTAAAGATCTAAATTGGGGTAAGGCTAATTTTGACAGTATTAGGCAGAAACTTTCAAATGTTGATATGGAGAAGCAATTCGCAGGTAAAAGGGACGGTTTAGAAAGTGGGAGGCCTTCAAAAATGAGAAAATGAGATTCAGAGACAATACGTTCCTGTTAGGGTGAAGGGCAGGCTCTTAGGTGTAGGAAATGCTGGATGACTGGAGAAATTGAGGCTGTGCGCAAGAAAAAGGAGGCATATGTCAATATATAGACAGCTGGGATCAAGTGAAACCCAACAGGAGTATAAGGGCCATGGGAGTATACCTAAGAAGGAAATCAAGAGGGCATAAAGGGGACATGAGATAGCTTTGGTAAATAGAGTTAAGGAGAATCCAAAGAGATTCTACAAATACATTACGGGCAAAAGAGTGACTAGGGAGAGAATAAGGAACCTTAAAGATCAACAAGGCCATCTATGAATTAACGTAGCTTGATGTTTGTTGGTCAGCATAGACGTGGGGATGAAAAGCCTAGTGTATGATCCCATGTCTCTATGAGAAATCAGAAACAGTATCTCAAATGCAGAAGAGAGGCTAACGCTGGGATATGGGCAGCCAATTGGAAATGTAAGACAGCAGACTGTGCTGAAACAAATAGTAAAATGTTCTTCAAACGTACTAAAAGTAAAAGATTAGCAAAAGATGGAGTGGATGGAAATGAACAATTTTGACGGGGTAAAGAAGGACAATCTACTTCCACTAGTTGGTAGGTCAGTAATTAGGGGTCACAATTTTATGACTGCCAGCAAAAGAGATAGGAGTGAGATTAGGAGAAGCTTCGTTGCTCAAAGTGATGCCTAGGAAAGTGGTGGAGGTGGATTCCATTTGAGGTTTCAAAAGAACTAGATGTATATTTAAAAGTGATAAATTTATTGGACTATGGAAATAGGACCGGAGAAGAGGACTACCTGAGTATTTCTTTCAGGAGGCAGTACAGACACAATGGGTCAAAGGACCTCCTATACTGTAAAATTTAATGAAGATAGTCTCAGTAATCATGACATGGAATCATTATCAATTGTTGTAAAAGTGGATCTTGTTCACTAATTTCCTTTAGGGAAGGAAACTGCTGTCCTTTACCTGGTCAGGCCTACATGTGACTCCAGACCCACAGCATTGTGGTTGTCTCTTAACTCTAACATGCATAACAAGCCATGAGGTTATACAAAACTGCTACAAAGTCCAAGAGGAAGGTAACTGGAGGGACCACACGGCATCAACCTAGGCACCAGAAAAAGCAATGACAGAAAAACCAATGACAAACCCAGTTCTATTGATCCTGCAGTCTCCTCAAGTGCCAAAATTGAGAGCTGTCCCACAGATTAGTCCAGCAACGGCCTGACAAAGATGCACTCATAGAATCATACATTACACGTAACGTCCCAGCTTTTGCGAAATGGAAACCACGATAAATGAATTTATTGAAGTTCTTTGAAGAAGACTGGAGGGTGGCTAATGTTGTTCCATTGTTTAAGAAAGGTAGCAAAGACCAGGGAACTATGGGACAGTAAATCTGACATCAGCGATAGGCAAGTTATTGAAGAGGATATTGAGGGATAGGATCAACCAACGTTTGGATTGTCAAGATCTGATTAGAAATAGTCAGCATGGGTTTGTGCATGGGAAATCATGTATGACAAATCTTTTAGAGTTTTTCGAAGAGGTAACCAAGAGAATAGGTGAAGATAGGGCAGTGGATGTTGTCTATATGGACTTTAGTAAGGCCTTTGACAAGGTACCCCATGGCAGGCTAGTCATGAAGGTTAGGTCACATGGGATCCAGGGAGCTATAGCTAATTGGATTCAAAACTGGCTCGATGGTAGGAAGCAGAGGGTGATGGTTGAAGGTTGTTTCTCAGACTGGAGGCCTGTGACTAGTGGTGTGCCACAGGGGTCAGTACTGGGACATTTGTTATTTGTTATTTGTTATTTACATAAATGATCTGGATGTGAATGTACAAGGCATGATTAGAAAGTTTGTGTATGATACAAAATTAGGAAGTAACATTGACAGGGAGAAGGTTATCAAAAATTACAGAGGGATCTTGATCAGATGGGGAAGTGGGCTGAGGATTGGCAAATGCAATTCAATACAGATAAGTGAGGTGTTGCACTTTGGAAAGTCAAACCAAGGTAGGACTTATACAATAAATGATAAGGTCCTGGGGAGTGCTGTGGAACAGAGGGACCTAGGTGTACAAGTACACAGCTCATTGAAAGTGGCGTCACAGGTGGACAGGGTGGTGAAGAAGGCATTTAGCGTGCTGGCCTTCATCGGTTGAAGTACTGAGTATAGGATTTGGGACGTCATGTTGTATAAGTCGTTGGTGAGGCCGCACTCGGAGTATTCTATACAGTTTTGGACACCCTGTTGTAGGAAAGACATTGTTAAACTGGAAAGTGTGCAAAGAGGATTTACAAGGATGTTGCCAGGACTAGTAGGCCTGAGTTACAGGGAGAGGTTAGCCAGGAGAGGACTTTATGCCTTGGAACATAGGAGAATGAGGGGTGACCTTAGTGAGATGTATAAAATTATGAGGGACATAGATAGGTTGCATGCATACAGTCTTTTTCCCAGGGATGAGGAATTGAAAACCAGAGGGCCCAGGTTTAAGGTGAGAGAGAAAAGATTTAAGAAGGACTTAAGGGGCAACTTCTTCACACAGAGAGTAGTGCGTATATGGAATGGGCTGCTGGAGAAAGTGGTTGAGGCAGGTACAATAGCAATATTTAAAAAACCATTTGGATAGGTACATGGATGGGAAGGGTTTAGAGGGATATGGACCAAATGTGGACAATTGGAACTACCTGAGTGGGCATCATGGAGAGCATGGGCCAATTTGGGCCAAAGGGTCTGTTTCCATGCTGTATTACTCCATGACACTAAGTAACACAATTGCCAGAAGACAGTTGAAAGTGTACTGTATTAAATTTTACTGTGGAAAATTAAAGCTTGTGGTATAAAACCATAATGGCATGACTTGAAGATTGGTTAGCTAACAGGAAACAGAGAGAGATAAAGTCATATGGTATGGAAACAGACCCTTTGGTCCTACTCGTCCATGCTGACCAGATATTCTAAACTAATCTAGTCTCATTTGCCAGCATTTGGCCCATATCCCCCTAAAACCCTTCCTGTTCATGTATCCATCTAGATGCCTTATGCACTCTTAAATCTTATGCACTCCTTCTTCTGTCCAACTGCTCTTTTGTCTCTTTGGAGTCTATCCCCACCTATCGTTTACTCCTCACCTCCTCCCCCATTCTATCTTCTGCATATAAACTAACATTTTCCTAGCTACCATCTAGGAAGGGTCACTCCACCTGAAATGTTAACTCTGATTTCTCTCCACAGACGCTGCCAGATCTGCTGAGCTTATTTAGCAATTTCTATTTTTTTCTCTGAAAACATTGCCCATCAGGTCCCTTTCAAATCTTTCCTCTCTCACCTTAAACCTATGCCCTCTTGTTTTGGACTCCCCTAACTGGGAAAAAGACCTTGGCTATTCACCCTATCCAGGCTGCTCATGATTTTACAAACTTTCCTAAAGTCACCGCTCAGCCTCCGATGCTTCAAGGAAAATAGCCCCAGCCTATTCAGCATCTCCCTACAGCTCAAACCCTCCAAATTCAGCAACATCCTTATAAATCTTTTCTGCACCCTTTCAAGTTAAACAACATCTTTCCGATTGCAGGGTGACTGGAATTGAATGGAGTATTCCAAAAATGGCCTAACTAATGTCCTGTACAGCCGCAACATGACATCCAAACTCCTATACTCAATTCACTGACCAATAAAGCCAAGTGTTCCAATACCTTCTTCACTACCCAGTCTACCTGCGACTCCAACTTCAAGGAACTATGAACCTGCACCCATCTCCCCCTCCCCAGGTCTCTTTGTTCAGCAACACTCCCGAGGATGCTATCAATAATTATCTAAGTCATGCCCTGGTTTGCCTTACCAAAATGCGACACCTCACATTGATCTAAATTAAACTCTCTCTGTCACTCTTGGCCCATCGATCGATCTGATCAACGTCCTGTTGTACTCTGAGGTAACCTTCTTCACAGCTCACTATACCACCAATTTGATGTCATCTGAAAACTTACTAACCACACCTCCTATATTCACATGCAAATCATTTACATACATGACTAAAAGCAGTGGAAAGCACTGATACTTGGGGCACACTGCTGGTCACAGGCCTCCAGCCTCAAGCCAATTTTGTATCCA